GGTGTTGGGGCAAAGGGGGCACAGGCAACCCCAGCACCATGTGCACTGTTCTCCGTCCCACAGTCAGAGGAGTCAAGCTCAGGGAGCGAAACTGAGGTCACCACGGCTGCCAAAGTTCCTGCAGTGCAAACACTGGAAGGGTTGGAAGAGAAGAAGAAGAAGAAGAAAAAGGAGAAAAAAGAAAAGAAGGAAAAGAAGAAATCTTCCTCCACAGCAGACAAGTCTGGGAAAACATCTAAGAGCAAAGACAAAGAGAATAAGAAACAGAAAACATCTCAGAAGCGGAAACTGCCAGGAGAGGATGGGGCTGTTGGGCAGCCCAAGGAGAAGAAGCGGAAAGGGCAAGCTAATGAAGAAGTAACCAAAAAGAAAAAGAAGAAAGCAGCTGGTGACCTGGACAAGTTGCCAGGCAGCAAGGAAAAGAAAAAATCGGCTAAAAGTAAGCATCCCTCACTTGGGGCTGCATTTGCAATAGGTTCTTGCAGCTGATGCACATTGAGCCTCTGGTGCAGGGCCTTGTAAGTAGCACCCACTTTCCTGTTAGCTTCCTGCTTGGCTACTTCCCGCTTGGCCCACCCAAAGCCAATGCCAGATTTTTAACACCCTGCTTCAGAGTTTTTCTGCAGTCTCAGCACCAGGTCGTGTTGCAGACAGCAAGCTGGGCTCTCCTGCCCCTCTGTCCTGCGTCCAGCACAGTGGGAACTGTGTTAACACTCATGCTGATCCTTGCTGCTCGGCATCCTGCTGCTTCCACCCTGGTTGGAAGCAGCTGTCTAGCTGAGGGCTGGCAGAGGGTTGGGGTGAGTCTGCGTTGAACCTCCTGAGGCCTCTTTGCCTCCTCTTTCGTGTGGCCTGCCTATCTGCACCAGGCTTGGGAGAGTTCTCGCTAGTTGTAAGCCACAAGGCCTGTGTTCTGCCCACTGCGCTGTCTGCGTGGTGCCCTGCTCTGTCTCTGCAGTGCAGAATAGCTCTGCTAACCCGGCTGGCTGCCCTGGCTCCTCTGTGGCAAACGCAACACGTGTGGTGGAGAGCTAAGGTGAAATGTGGCTGGGGACAGCACATTTCAGTCCCTGATGTGCTGGGGGCATGGCAGAGGAACCCCAGCGTTCACATGTGCAGGGCTTTGTGTTAGTCAGAGCTTCCTGAGCACGGCCCCCTGCTGCCAGCCTCTTTAAGAGATCAGCCTTGAAATCCGCACTGTCATCTGCCAGTGTAAACCACTGCTGTTCCCCGTGGGGCGACAGTGCCCCTTCCTGACCCTGCCTGATCAGTGACTGTGCTCTTACATGGTGAGCGGCTCATTCAAGAGATTTGACTCGGGGCTATTACTGCTGCTTTCAAACCCCTGGAGAACGAGGAGGATGGTACCAGCCTCCTGCTTGTTGCTCCCAATTAAGAGTGTTTCCTGCCCCTCTTGTCTGCGTGCCTCTCTGTAATGCTCTGTTTGCTGCCCTAATGCAAAGGCTTTTTTTTTTTTTCTTCTTTGCAGTGCAGACTGCATTTGCAAATCAGAGCTGGTTCTGGGCTGGATCTTGTAGGCTTTTTTTTTTTTTTTTTAAATAAAAAAAAAAAAGGGAGATGGAATGGGTGGGCCGGATCTGCTGGGGTTTCTGTTCTGCAGAGCTGCAGCCCTTAATTTTGGAGGAGACAGACTTGTCCGTCAGCCCTTGTGTGGGCTGTTGCACAGGGGTGAGCTGGAGCCTCTTGGAGCAGTTGTGCTGAGCTGAACCTTGTGTCCATCCTGTGTTAGTGGCTCCCCTTGCTCTGATCTCTAGCATGTGCCCAGCTATTCCAGCACTGAAGTGGTTCCTTGGAGTGGGTGGGCAGCCAGAGGTGGAAAGAACGTCTGCATGGATGGTGGGATCAAACTGCCCTGGCTCAGAGGTACCAGAGAAACGCCCTGGGCAGAGCTGCCTTGTGGTAGGGCTCTGCCCTCACCCAGTTACTTACTGCTCTCAAAAGCTTACTCAGGTTTGGATGTGATGAAAAGCTTACTGGAGATGCTCCTACCACTCTGCTCCATCTCGGAGGCTAGCAATACCAGAATCCCTGTCTTAGTTGACTTTTCTTTCCCTCTCCCAGAAAAGAAGGCTGGGAAAGAAAAGAAGAGGAGCAAAAAGGTGTCTTCGGAAGGGGAGCCTATAGCAGATGGCTCCGCTGAAGTTCACAAGAAGAAGAAGAAGGTATGTGCGAGACCCTGGGATGGGGTACCGTGGGGAGAGCTGTTCGGCACCACGGTTGTGATGCTCGTCCCTGCAGTGTGCCAGGCTGGAACAGAGGAACAGCCGTGTTCTGGCCTCGCTGGTGGCACAGAGGAGGCTGCAGTTAATTGTGGCTAATCTTGAGACACCCTGACCTTTGGTTGGGATTGGGGTGGCTTGAAGAAGGACTTGTTCCTCTGTCTCTCCCCCAGGAGAGATCCCTTTTCCCTGGAAGGGTCAAACCCAGGGGCCATTTTGGTGGCAGAGAACCTGCCCATGGAGTAAGTGCTGCTCTTTAGCTGTCTGTTCATCTAGCTGTTTTCAGCGGAAACTGGAGCCCCTGAGGGCTTGGCAGGCTACTGCATCCCATCCCAGGGAAGGCGGGCAGAGGGAGGCTATAGGATGTTCCTTGAAATGGATATGTCCCTGTAGAGATGGTAGCCAAGAAGCCCCTGTGGCTTTGCCGGGTCCTTCATGTTTGTGGTGCAGATGATACTGATTTATTTTTCACCCTTTTTCTTTTTAGAAGAAGAAAACAGCTGAGCCTGAAGGATTGTGAGAAGGTACATGACCCGTGGGGACTATCAGTTGGTACCTCTGAACGGCAGTAACCTTGGCCAAAATCAGTACTCCTGGGCCAGTCTTGGGAAGACAGTGTGCCCTCTAAATGCTCACTGAGTCAGCCTGGCCTTAGATTTAGAGGGCCAGGGAGTGGAGCGTTGTAAGGAAAGTCATGCAGCAGTGTGCTGGCTTCTCTGGATGTGTTTGACCTCAGCTCTTTAGTTGCCAAGAACTGGATGTCCAGCCTGGATGTTGCTGTCCTCTGTCATCAGCAGAGATAAGCGGGCCTCTGGCAGTGTCTGTCTGTCCTTGCTGACCACAGGGAGCTTGGAAAAGTAATGCGGATTAGATGATGATGTTGTAGCCACCTGGAAGTGGACCAGATGACTCTGCCCTTGCTCTGCTCAGCTGTAAGCCTGTTACCCTCCTCCCCATCCCTAACTCTTTTAACTCCTCTCCCCAAAGGTACCGCATCCCTGTGATTAAGGATTTATGGGTGAAGATCAAACAGAAGAGAGGAAAAGGAAGCTCATCAGGAGAATTTCAACTTTTTTTTTTTTTAAATAATAATTTATAACTTCTTTTAGGCCAGTCTTGGGAAGACAGTGTGCCCTCTAAATGCTCACTGAGTCAGCCTGGCCTTAGATTTAGAGGGCCAGGGAGTGGAGCGTTGTAAGGAAAGTCATGCAGCAGTGTGCTGGCTTCTCTGGATGTGTTTGACCTCAGCTCTTTAGTTGCCAAGAACTGGATGTCCAGCCTGGATGTTGCTGTCCTCTGTCATCAGCAGAGATAAGCGGGCCTCTGGCAGTGTCTGTCTGTCCTTGCTGACCACAGGGAGCTTGGAAAAGTAATGCGGATTAGATGATGATGTTGTAGCCACCTGGAAGTGGACCAGATGACTCTGCCCTTGCTCTGCTCAGCTGTAAGCCTGTTACCCTCCTCCCCATCCCTAACTCTTTTAACTCCTCTCCCCAAAGGTACCGCATCCCTGTGATTAAGGATTTATGGGTGAAGATCAAACAGAAGAGAGGAAAAGGGAGCCCATCAGGAGAATTTCAACTTTTTTTTTTTTTTAAATAATAATTTATAACTTCTTTTAACTGTGACTTTTAGAGCAGAGCAGCATAACTTTCTGCCTCCTCCTGCCCCGCTGGGGCCCAGAGATGTGTTTATTGCCCCTTCTGATGGCTCGCCTGTTGCACAAGAACTGAACTGAAGGAGGCAGTTTGACCAGAGAAGAGCCAGCTTGCATAAACTGCTTTCCTCCTAGTTGACACCCAGCCATCTCTTTCTCTTTCCCATCACAGAGCTATATTTTTAAGAGAAACTTTTACCTTTTTTTTTTTTCTTCCTCCTTCTGTGATTTGTGGTGTCAGTCCTTTTGCTACTATGGAAGAGAGCTCTTGGGTTTACTTTTTATTCTAACACTGACAGCAGTGATTTTTGTGTCTCTGGAATTGCACTGAGCAGCTGTGTCCAGCAGCTGTTCTCGGCCAAGATGGTGTAATTTTTTGTGGGTTTTTTTATGGAATACAATAAAAAATGAACGGTGACATTTTGCTTCAGCTGTTTTCAGGGGAGGAAGGGAGGTGCAAAGCCCTTGGGTTCAGGGACCAAACCCAGCCCAGGGAGGCAGGGCAGGGGCTGAGCCTGGGGCAGGGCTCTGCAGGACGTCGCGGGTAGGAGGGCAGAGCCCGCCTTCCACCTAGCTTCATAGGCGCCACTTCAACCCCTGGGCAAAAACTACTTGCTTTCTGCCTGCTCCCCAAGGAAGATCAGATGCTGTTGCTCCTCAGCTTTGAACTGTGTGTTCTTCTAGTGTTGGTTTGTAATTTTAAAATTTTTTATTTCATTACTAAAATGCTGTGTAGGGGCAGGTGCTGAGAGCAGGCTTGGGCATCGCCTGCTGCCTCGCTGGCAGCTGCTACCCTGTGCCCTGTGCGGGGCGTGTGCCTGGTTTCCTCATTTCACTGCCAAGGAGGGAGGAGGCTGGGGCGCAGGGGGCTGCTCGCCTCCTCCCCCCGTGCCCAACTCACTTTAAAGTTCTTTCAGTCTGCTGGGGTGCAGGGGAAGAGATTGAACAAGTGATGGACCAGGTAATGGGGCAAGGAGGATGTGCACTCCTGGAGGGGGGACACAGACGTCACAGTGTCTTTGCAGAGATTTTTCTTTTTCCCTTTTTTCTTAAGCTTCATTTATTTTTAACCTAGGACAGCTGCAAACTCTTTACAAGCATGGCTTGAGTTGCTTACAAGGCTTTCTTATTCAAAAGTTTATTTGAAATAATTTGCTTGTGAGGTCATTTATAAAAGAACTATCAGATGTATTCAGAGAAATGAGAAGCCCCTCTGACTCCAGGGTCAGCTCCTCTGCCTGCTGTTACCCACTGCTGCGGCTGTTCTCCAGCCAGAAGGCGCAAGCTGAAGGTGAGCATCTACCTCTACAAACCTGAGCGCTCCACGAGCAAAACCTTCTACTCTGGTAACCTAAGGGGGCTTCAACCTACGGGGGTGGGAGGAGGGTGTCAGTTAAGAAGCTGGTGGAGGTTGTTTTGCTGCTTTTAATGTTGGTTCAGTGTAAGAAAGCATTAGTGGCTCGTTCTTCAGCAGGGGTGAGCTCTGGGTCTGCCGCTGCCCAGGTGCTGCAGGGTGCTGATGAGCAAAAGGGAACGGGGTTTATGGGTCTGGCACGGTTGAAATCGCTGCCCAGCCTGCTTTACCCACCCTCTGAGGGAACACTTTGGCTCTAGCACTGATCCTGGTGGCAGCTGCAGCCCCGTCTGGTGCCCTGGAGCAGGGGAGGGCTCACAACCGGTGCCTCGAGGGGCAGGAGTGTGCAGGGGTGCCCGCTGTTAAACAACTCAGGAAAGCAGAAGTAAGAGCAGAAATGTAACAGAGCAAAAAGAAAAAAACCCAAAACCCAAGGGAGCTGGGGTGCTGAAGAGGGGATGGGCATCCGCTGGTGTCCTCTGGTGTCCTCTTCTACTTGGCTGTTGGGGGGGGAAGAGAGGAGGGAGTGGGTGAGATGGCTCCAGGAGCTCCCAAAGCCCAGGCTGTTTTGCCTTGTGTCTCCATCACAACCTCTGCCGCCCTGGCAGCGCTTTTGGTGCTGCCCTGGCTCTGGGGGCTGGGGCCGTGCCAACCGCCCCAGCCCCACAACCACGCGTGGCCCTCACCTTTCTCCGCACCCAGCTTGAGCATGTCCACCCCAGAGAAGATCACCTCCTCCGGCTCCGCGGTGGGGGCAGAAGCGATGGCTGCAGAGGGAGGGCAGGACATGGCTGCTGAAGCCCTGGGCCTGCCCCATCGCCCCCACCCCTCTGAGGGCAGCAGGGGAGACCCTGTACCGCCCCCCTTTCAGCCACGGGTTTGGGGGCAAGGGGGGCTCGTGGAAAACCTTGGCTGCATGCCTCTGCTCTCACTGCAGCTGGCCCGGGGGGGCTGGGGGTTTAAGGGTGCTTAACGTGCTGGCACGGAAAGAGGGGTGAGGGATGCTCTCTACAGCTTGGTCACCCTCCTCCTCTCCCTGAGTGTTTTCCTCCCTAATCATGAGCAAAATATGGGGCAGCATCCATGCACGCTGCTCCTTCCTCTCCTCCACCCCCTCCCTGGCGACCTACCGGGGCAGTCCAGCTTTTCCCGAGTGGCAGTGCCCTCAATCCTGGTGCCATTTTTGTAGGAGCACCAGCAGTAGCCCGTGGAGGCATTGCACTGCTTGGGCAGGTAGTCGCCGTTCCCGTCGCACTGCGGGCGGAAGCGGCCTGGCCGCACGCCCCCAGCGTTGGCCTCCGCCTGGCACTTAGTTTGCACTAGGGCAATAAAAACAAAGGGGAGACAGCGTGAGCCCTGCTGCCACCCAGCAGCCTCGGCGGGAGCTTTTGATCCTGAAGCAGCTAAATTAAGTATAAAAGCCCCACTCCAGTGACCTTTCTAAAGCTCTTGGGCTAGCCCGGGATGGAGGAGTTGGGGTGTGGTGCTCTGGGTTTTAAGGCATTTGCACATCCCAAATGCCCTGCGGGCAGTGGCTCTGCAATGTCCTAAAGGCCACCAACCCGAGGCTCCCCATGGGATGAAGAGGTCTGTGATGGATCAGGGGATGGAGGGGTGGCCTTCGGGATGCCCCGTGCTGGCACCTCCTGGGGGTGGTTGCTCCAAGGGCCAGTCCCCACCCTCCCCAGCTCAGCAGCCCCCGTCCCTGATACCTTTCTCCGCCGGGATCTCCTTATGCTCTGTCTTGGGGTTCTTGGCCATTTCGAACAGCAGCCACTTGTGCATCCAGGATTCAAAGGACTGTAATGAGGGGAACCAGCACGTTAACCGGGACAGGGGTGTGCACCACAGGGGAGCAAGCTCCAGCCTGGGCCAGGGAAGGTCATGAGCCCCACCACCTCCCTTGGGGTGGAGGTAACCCAAGCCTGGCTCCAGCAGGACTTTGTTTTTCCAGGTGGGGATACCCCTGTCCCTCCCCAAAGCAGGGGGCTCCTGGAAGGGGAAGAGAAGGATGGCAGCAAGCCCTGACCTTCCAGTCTGCATCAGACATGGTGCTCTTCAGGCTCTTCAGGTTGTCCATCAGGTTGTTCTTCAGCTCCGGAAACATCTTCCTGGGGTCCGCTTGCTGCAGAGCAACCACCATGGTGAGACAGGGCAAACTAAAATGGGGTGGGGGCAGGGGTGAAGCTCTGCTTATATCAGCCAGATGGACACTGCAGGAGGCCAGGAGCTTCCACCAGCTCTGAGCACCCCAAGAGACCCCAGACCCAGCCAAGAGACAGCTTGAAGCTGGGAGTGGAGGGTCCTGTCACCTCTGGCAGCGCAGGGGAAAGCTGTGGGGGCAGTGGGGTATCAGGAGACCTTACCAGCAGCAGGTGCTTCACTTGGTCCTCGGTTTTGTTGCTAGGGGGGCCCATCTCCTTCAAGAGAAAAGAAAAAAGGGGCAGGGTGAGTGGGAGGGCTGGCAGCGAGCCCTGGGGGCAGCAGGCAGTGCCGGGCAGCAGTGGGCACCTCTTACCAGGCTGTCTACAGAGGGGCCGAGGGGCAGGACCCGCATGGTCAGGGGCGTGTTCACCATGGCCAGCTTCATCTTGCTCACCGGCTTGGCACCTGCCGAGAAGGGGTGGTGTGAGGGGCGCCGGGTTGGGTGATCCAGGGGGACCCGGGTCCCCTCTCCCCCCGGCCACCCTGACCCCGGCGCCCATGGGGGCTGCTGGCTGGCAGGCAGCTTCCTCTGCAGTGCCTCCAGCTGCAGGGTCTGGGAGGTCTTGGTCAGCTTGCTGATCTGCCCATTCTGCTGGTAGACGAAGTAGACGGTGACAGCCTGGCCGGCGATCAGCAGGGCCACCAGGATGGAGAGCGTGGAGAGGGCGGCTTTGTGGCCCAATCCAGACCTGCAAGGCATGGAGAGGGACCTCAGCCCCGGCCACCGGCTGGAGGGGACCTCCTCCTACCCTGTCATCATCCTCCCTCTCCCAAAACCCCCCCTGCAGCCCACGTCACCCCCCCTGCACCGCCCCAAACAGCCCCCTCCCGGAGGGGGGGGTTGCAGCCAGACAAATGCAAATTCCCCCATCGTGGCGTGCAGAAGTGAAATCCCAGCGTGAAGGTCACTCCTCCGCACCGGGGGAACCGAAACCCACTGCAGGGGCG